AGGAAAGGCCAGAGTTTCACTCCCAGTACCACTGGCCATGAACTGCAAACATCAGTGCAGACAGCAACACACCCCCCATCCACTCAATAACAGGAATTCACCCTTAGTTTGGTAAGAAACTGGGTTAGGCTGTAACAGAAATATCTTAGACGAATACAACAGCCTTCATGCAAATCTTAATCCTTATTTCAGATACAAGGTGGGTTTAGGTGTATTTTGGTTTACAGCTAAAGCACAGAAATCTTTTTGCCACACCAACTTGAACTATAACCACCGATGACTCCCTTCCCAGCCAGGATACATTTGTTCTATGAAAATATGACACAGAATAGAGGGAATTGCCTAAAATCGTGTACTGCTTGACTGTGATTTGTCATCAGACACATTACAATTTTTCACATTTTTAACACTATCCTCTGCCCCTGGGTACTCGATAGGGATTTCAATGTCATTTTTACTTGAACCATTATCTTTATGCCGTGTAGAAATGTAGCTGTTGTTTTTTTCCATAGAGACATTAGTTTTAACCCGGGGGGGCTGCCGCTGGCTGCAGCACAGCTGAGAGTCACAAGTTTTTGAGATGCAGGGCGAGCTGCATAGTAGCTGGGAGGTCTTGTGGTCAACGTACTCAGGCTGAATGGTCACAGAATGGATCCCTGCTTCGTGGAAAACCTTTCGTATTTTATGAGCAGCATCTTGGTAATCAGTAGGGGTTTGGCACTTAATATGAAGAGTTGCAATATTCTTCCCAGCTGCAAGCTCCCAAACATGTACCTCATGCAGGCTGCTAACCCCTGGTACACAAGCTAGTCTGTCAGCTGGAAGACAAAAGAGAGAAAGATATTAGAGGTCGTGGTATACTGGCTAATTATCAGCTGTTTCATTAGGCACCCTATCCGAAAGCAGCAGTGTCCAAACTATCATTTTAGAAGTGATACACCTGATAGTATGCTTACTCCCAGCTGCCTTCAGTTCAGCATCTAGATGACTACATGAACAGGCCACCCTACCCCTTGGGTTCACCCATCCCTCAGGCTCCCTAATGGCAATTTACCAACTTTTCTTAGAAAAAAACCTTAGAGCACCACTTCCTCCATCAAGACCCCACATCTTCGGGTTTCTTTAAGCCCTGAGCATGATGGAATTCCAGAAATACCAGGTGCTACCCCACAATTAACCAGTGTGAACAGCACGTAAGAGTTACAAAATTAACCAACTTTAACAGAAATTTCTATGCTGTTTTAGAAGCCTTTCAGAAGAAAGCACTGCAGGGTTGGAAAATACTGTAACTCAATGTTGTTTCTTTCACAAACAACCCACACAAAGCATTAACAGCTCAAGACCTGGTATTTTTGATGTGTTGTTGGAGTACCACATTCTCAAAATGCATGCTTTAACTAATCCAGAGAGATTTGAGTCATGTTGCTAGGACACAGGCATGTGACTATTTCTCACAGTTCTTGAGAATTTAGAGCTGTTATGAGTAAATAATCCAAACATGTAATTCCAGAAATAACATATGCATTGAAATATGTAATTAAAATTAACAGCATTTCAACAATTAATTTGACTTACTGAGTAGCTGCATATTAACACCTTTGGGGACCATCTGCAACAAAATAGTTGAGGTCTCCTTGATAAGTGGGAAGGCAGAAGATAAAATGATGAACACCATAATTATTGTCAAGCTTGGATCAATGTAGCATTGCCAATTGCACTGACCATCCCTCAGAGGACGTAGGTGGAAGATAGCAGCAGTAATTACCACGACCACAGATCCAAGTGCATCTCCCATAACATGTAAAAGAACACCTGAAATAAATGGCACAATTTCCATTAGTGGGGTGATTTGGGTTTGTTGCTTTGTTTTGGATTTCTTTGAGGGGTGCTGGAGAAGTACTACTGCATTTTTCAGGTATATTCCACTTAAATATGAAAAAATGCAACATTCCAGGCATTAATATCATAACCGAATTTTTCAGTAACAGCTTTTGGGAAAAATCAGTAAGGTAAATAGTGATTCTGAAGCACAGCTGTTTAAGGAGGATGCATTAAACATGTAGGGTACACTAGCAACTGCTGTCCAACTGCAATGCCATGGCAACGTAAAACGTGTTTGCTTAAATGCCTGCAGATTATTAAGCAATCCTGGCACACTAAATCTCAATTAAAAATAGATGACTAAATCTGTTCTACCCTGGAAGCTGAGAGAGCCACAGACCACCCCAGTAACAGTTACTTGCCCCCATCAGTTTCTATGACACGGTTGAAATCCGCAAAATTACCGAAGTGAAATCTAAGCCCATCCTTATGGCTCCAAGTACCCTCAAACTCCAGTTCTCATATCAAGCTCAAATATTTGTCATATTAAACCTTGTTCCACCAACACTACTAGTCCTGAGACCCCCAAAAATCAGAATCTGGTTTGAGAGTGCCTGGGCTACTCTAAATTGAGAGGAATGTTGGGTACCTCTTTTTACATCTATAAATATGGTTTTATACCAAAGGTAAAGACACAAAATAGGCTCTTATAGTAACACATATTCAGCTGCCCTTTAAACTACAATGACCAAAGCAGTCTTCTTGCTATAAAATCACAATAAGCCAAGAAGTCCCTTTTTCTTCTTTGTCTTTTTACTACTTTATGTAAACTTCCTTCTTTCCATTGCTGCTCAAATGCACTCCAGTTTTGTCAGCCTTAACTGTTCAGACTCAGATTTCATTCCAACCCATGCCTAATTCATAACATCTCTCTCTATGTGAAGTTAATTTCTTTCCCAATACTTATTATTTGGGGCCTTTGAGAGAATAAAATGAATCATCTTCTTTTAACATCCTTATGACATGCACTTTCAAGCACGTGACTCACATTTAATCCCTTCCTCTGAGCTAGAGAAGCTGTAAAAGGCTCCCCTCAAAACTCAGTAACAACACAAAGAGTTTTGACTCTTTGGCAATGCTGGACACTGGATTAGACCTAGAAGTGTACCTGTGCTGCTGCTTCTTGCCAGCTCTGTACATGCACCCAGATGCCACCTGTGTGAGAAATGAAGGCAATAACCTCTGGAGTTCCTCCAAATCACTTGGGTCTGATAAGAAAGTACAAGCTTCCAGTGAGTCCAGCTCTTTCTGCTGGAGTCAGGCATGTTCTGCCCCTTCTGGCAGAATTCCACACAGTTTTACTCCTCTTAACAGTGTTGCAGTGTTCCTTTTCATTTACAAATAACCCTAACTCAGCATAGGCTATCAACTATTGCACTAACAAGAGGGACAGAAAGGATGAAATTGCCAAGGCAACTAACTGAGAGCACAGATTATAAAGAATAAGAAAATGTTTCAGAAAGCCTTCTTTTGAATAAAGAAGTAAGTATGCTGCAATTCTGATCAATTATTGAGAATACAGAATTTGGAAAATGCTTATTTTACATTATTAATGTCATTAATATGCACATCACGGTTATGTGTCACATAACGAGGGCCTAAACAGAAACGTACCCATTTCCCTATCAAACCCCAAAAAATATGATAAGATGGCACTGAAAATGAGTTTTTACTCAATAAAGTCAGTATGGTAAAACCGTAAGTAATATAAAATTTTCAACAGCTTGTGTTGGGAAGTCTGAACTACTCTGCATACACTCAAGAAGTAAAAGGAGTAATTTTACACTATGACAATCCTGTCAGGCAGATTTTATGGATTCCTGTTCCTACCACTTAGAATTAAGGAAGCCATTCCCCTGCCAATCCATTTTGTCCAACCATGTTTTTCAGGGAGGCTCCAGTTCTGCAACATAAGAATTTTTTTGCCAAACATTTATGAAGGAAGTATAGCTGTGTAATTAACTTCAATCGAAAAAAACTTTACATTTTGAATCAGAATTTCAAAGATACACATATGCAGCACTGGCTACAGTAGCAAGGAATATTTGTAAGGACAATAAAAATAGATTTGGCAAAGATGACACACTTGAAAAAATTCTTTTTTAAAGTCAAAGATGACAAGTATCTTAAAATAACTGACACAAAACTCCTTATCCTTCAGACATTTTTGAAATTTTCCAGTATCATTATGCCTAAGCACTGTGGTTCAGGCAAGCAAGGCCTTCTTTAAAATATAGTAATTGGTTTCTTATTCTTCTGTCCTCCATCCCAGAGTGTGACAGTTGACTTTTCCTGCCCCAATAATCTTACCACTAAAATGCCATCCAGTGACATTAACTTCTAGACATTCAGGCAAGTGTTGTGGCTCTAGCACATGGTTTGATTTCCAAGATATCTTCTGTCACAGACACATTTGTGTGGCTTTGAAGACACTGGTGCTGAAGCCCCAGCTTCAGAACCTCTTTTCTTATGCTGACAACACAACATTATCAACCCTGGGATTTGAAAGAAATTCCGGTTCCTGCCCAAAAACATTTTAAAGTGGAAAACTGCTCAACTTCTACAGCAGTGACACTCAAATATGCACCTCATAGCTACCTTTCCAGTACAGTTACTTTCCAGGACAGTCTCTATTGACTTGAGCTTAGTGCAATAGCACTTACATTCTTTCCAAAATGCTCAGCTGTGCTCTTCTAAATTATTCTTTAGAATGTGAGCACACTTGGAGCCAAATTAACTATTTTGTTATTACCTATGCTGTTTCATACAACCAATACCTTTCTGCTAAAGATAACTGGGTCCAATTACATAGAAGAGTCCTTGGCTTTTGCTCCCTTTCTTACTGATATCTGAGGGAGGAAAAAAACCTGAAATAGAAAGGAGAAAGTGTTTGAAGTTAATATAACATTAGCAGTATACCCCCATGCCATACCTCTGATGTTCAAGGCTTCAGACTTCTTCTCTTTTTTCTTCTCAGACCCCTCTTCAGGGCTTTTTTGGTCATTTGGTGAATCACCTGCATTCAAAGAAGAAACGCTGTGTTGTGTATAAGTTCTACAAACAGAAAAAACATCAACCTTCTCAAAACCAACTTATTTCAAAGATAACAAGATAAAAAAAAAAAAAAAGGAAAAGAAAAAAAACCCCAAGCAAAACATTTTCCACGCAGCTCTCTGAGCAACACCTTCTTCCCCCATCCCAAGAGGACGCCCATCAGCCCAGCGTAAAGTACAAGGTGAAAGAGGCAGTGGGTGCTTGAGTGAGCTTAGTGAAACCCAAAGCTCACAGGTGGCTTCAAAAGGGTACACAGAGGATGGGTACAACAGTTTGGCAGGTCCCGGGGGCAAACCAGAGGAAGAGAGGGGATGGGGAGGGATGCAGAATGGCAGGAAGGATGTCGAAGGGTGCAAGGCAGAGAACGGGAAGGCAAGAGAGGGGGAAGATGAAGCCGAAAGGCACCTGCTTCATCCTCCTCCCCCTTTGGGGTGCCCCCGGGCACATCCCGCAGCTCGGCGGGCGCGGGGCCGGGCGGGCGGCGGCAGCAGGCGCCCCAGTCCTGGAAGACGAGCAGCCCCACGACGTT